AAGAAGTAACTCCATTCCATTGTTCTCGGTTATTTCTGCACTGCAGTTTTCTAGGACTGCCATATTGGCTAGAATAGTGGCAACCTAATAACAAAAAAAGACAACATATTATTACTATTGCATCTCATATCTCATTTTTAGAATTATCACTGAAACAGTAAGTTTAGAGCTGGGAACTGCTGTTAAGCATAAACCATGTCAGCTAATTCTCATGGCACTAAAATGATAACCTTGATTGCTTCAACCAAAAAGAAATATTGAATTTAATTCAGCCCTAAAATATTCACCACACCAATATATAACCACTATTCTGGCTGTTCTGGAAACCATCCTTGCTTTCAAATCAAACAACACAAAACAATTATTTCAAAGGTTCACCCTTCAGCCTTACCTGATCTTTGGCAAACATGGATTCGGCTTTATTGACTTGACAAGCCTCAATCATGATTCTTGCTGCATCAAACTGCATGAGGGAGTCGCAGGCCATGCTGTCCATGAAGGTGATGTTGGCAATAGCAGCAGTGGCCAGGAGGAATACCTCATGACTATGTGTCTGCATACATAACTCTGGGGGAAAAAAGCAATGGTAAATGACAGAGTCCAAAGTAACATTTGACAGTTCATTTGACTGCATTGCTTTAGTTGGCATATATCAAGATCAGATCTGAGCTAACACAATAATATTAGTTAAATTATCCATACACACTTTCTGTCTACAGAACTGCATAAGCAAGTCTTGAAATCTTTTTACATGCATAAAGCTCTGTCGTTTTTTCTCATATTGCTTTTTCATCTCACATTTTAACACACAATATTCTGATAGGTTATAAAGAAGTTATCTCTTGATATCACCTAGAAAGTCTTCACAGCAACAATTTGTTAGATGTATTGCACAGCATATCAAATCACAATTACAACAGCCCATATGGGCTCTTTCCCAAGGATACTATAGATCTACGTAGACAGATACATTCAGACTGAGTCCTACAAGTTCCTCTAGATTTATTTTCATAAAAACCTGTATGATTTCAATTAACATACTTACTTAAAAGAGCCTGTATGAGATCCTCCATATTTTCTATAAACCCTGAGATGTGTTGGTTGTGATCCAGGCAAGGTGATGTTATTTGTGCCACCACCCCAGCTGCCTCCGACCTCAGGTGTTCTGTGGTACCCTCATTACACAAGATGTCAGTCAAGCACTCCACACCCGCAGCCTGGAGAGGAGAGCCAACACTTTTGTCAAACATTACTACAAATTATGAATTTCATATACAGCAGATTTTTTTCTTATTTTCAATTATTTTATTACTTTATTTATTTCATTCTATATTAATTATCCTATCCTAGAGAAATTAACTCTCAGTCAGTTGCTTTATACATCAAAAACAAGGCTGCAGATTTGATTAACTTACAAAATTCTAAGAAAATAATTTTTCCTCTTCTTTCAAACTTTGCATGTTAAAGTAATTTGTGTGCAAATATACAATACTAGGAAGTCATAGCCATTTCCAGTTGATCTAGTTCTAGGAATTTTGTGTAATGGATTCTTGGAGATGGTGATTTATTTAGAACATAGATATCAGGACAATGACATCAACATTCTGATGAAACTTCACCATACTACCTTTTCCATGAAATTGAGTTTTCACAAAAATACAAGAAAAAAAAAGAAAAGAAAAAATCTTAACTAACCAAAATGTTCATATTCAAATCAATAAATTTTAAAATAACAGGTATTTAATCATAAATATATTTTTTATAAATTTCCCCACCTTTTCTAGTTCCAGTATGCTCTCTGACACACAGCAGACAGTGGCTATTGCCCTCAGAGCTTGGGAATGAGCAAATTCAAACTTGCTCTGGCGACAAACTTCAAACAAAACTCTCACTCCTCCCTCCTAAAGACCAATAATCAATAAATTAACATCATATTTTCACAACCAGGCATTCAGATCAAACATGGCATAATATATAATACATTTTCTCTAGTATATGAGAAGTTAACTTTGGTTAATAGTATTTGTTTTGGATCTCTATCATGCTAGGACCTCTATCAATATTACTCTGCCCCATACCCTAGCAATTAGAAAGCACATGTGTTCTCCTTCCAGACCCAGGCTGATCAGGTGACTGAGGGAGGCACTGATGAAATGGGGACTGGTGGCGTCCTCTATTGACTGGATCATTTGCTGGAAAATCACAAATGTGACCTTCAGTATCAATCACAATGGGGGCTTAAAATAGTGAAAAATTTTAGCAATGAAAACAAAAGGAAATGGTATTATGCTTTCATGTTCATTTTTAAAGAAATTAGTAGATCTGTTTCTATAGACCTCCAGCATTAATGTACAAGCATCAATATAAGATATCTCACAATGTTCTATTCACTTCTTAATTTCATGTATTTAGTTAAGCTTCTAACATCAGAGATTTGATAAGGTAAAAGATTTCTCTGAGTTTGAAAGAAATCTGCATATATTATTTACCTGAATTAAATATCCTAAGGCCATGTCCACTACAGCACTAAAAGACTGACCAATAGTGGTTAACATATTGACCAGTGGAAGAGTATTGGGTTTGTGACCATTGATCTCACCCAGACTGGAAAACAACACAACAAGGCAGCAAAGCTGTCAAATGTACAGACAAAAAACAGAAAATAAAGATGCAAAAAAGGTCATTTTGTCAATTTTGATGCAATAATAAATAATGCTTATAATAGCACTGCCAGTCAACACTGAATTTTAATCATGCACAACAGGTAACATGGTCAATAACAGGAGCGGACCCCGAGATATTTTCTGACAGTATTCCAAAGTATCTTTGTTGATCCAACCTCCAATTTGATGGTCTTCCAACAGAAAAAAAATAGATACCAGTCAATATAAACTTAATAACCTGACTGTCTTCCGGAAGACCCAGAAGATGGTCTCAATCCACCCCTTCAATAAGATTACAGTTTCAGGACCATGAGAG